TGTACCCAGAGCCTAATCCTATCCCAACTTCCCCGGTTGCATGCTTTGCACCAACATCTCTAACCAATAGATAAAACCCTAATCCTACCCCAATTCCCTCCCGACTGCATGCTACATTCCAACATGGTTACCAAACAGAAAAACCCTGCAAAGGCTTTTGTACCGCACCACCGTACCGTACCGTACCGTACCTCAAGGTCGTCGAAGAAGTGCGGGTCGGCTTCCGACTCCTCCCTCGTGTACACGCTCCGCAGCACCACCACGGGGTGCTTGTCCGCCCCGCATTCCTCCGGGAGGGGAGGCAGGGCGCTGTCGTGGTAATCCCCCCCCCCCCCTCCGCCGTTCTGTTGCCCCCCATCCGCCCCCTCTTCCACCCCGTTGTGTTCCCCGCTGCTGGCCTCCTGTTGCTGCTGTTGGGATGGCGGTTCCTCCGCCGCCGTGCCCGACTGCGCCGGCGTGGGGCGATCAAAACACAGGATTGGTCAAATGTCCGTCCGTCCGCATGAAAGAGACCCCACGAGCATGTGTGCATAAGGCACGCGTTGACGCATGATGCGTTGGCGCTTTGCTCTCAATGACCGAAATTGACGCTGGCTACTACTTCCGCCGGAAGGCGAACGGGCATGTGAGGGTCTCAATCGAAAGCGAGCACGCGGGCTGATTTCTTCCCCCATTGTCTACGAACCAAAATGCGTCGAGTTCGGATTGTGACAAGTACAAGATGCCGCTGTTGAAAATGACGGCACATTGATATCAAGAGACATCACGGACGAAAAAAAACGGGGGAGAATGCCGAAAGAGCCCAGTCTGGCTTCTTCCTGTTTGTCGTTTGCTGACCGCTGACAAAAAAAAGCACACACACACCAGCAGCAGCAGCAGCAGCAGTAGCAGCAGCAGCGGTAGGTGCCAACAACGACACGACCTGGCGACACCACACCTTCATCGCCCCAAAACAAGGCAGGCACCCCCCCCCCATCCATGAGTGCACCATCGCACCTTAGTCCTGTTGAAGTCCGCCATGCTCACGGAAATGGGATATCCCACGGAAATCTCGTGCCCATTCATCTGGTTCCGGGGACGGAAGGGGGAGATACGCGGCCGGCGGGGGGGGGGGGGGGGAATCCCAGCTGTGGATGGCGGAACCCTTAACCCCTCCACCCCCCTTTCCCAAAAAACCGGGGAGAAAAAAGTCGGGGTTTCCCCGGGAACCGGGTCTCACATTACCAAACGCGAAACGGGGTGGGGGGGGCCGGGGAAAAAAAAAAACAAGGTTTTAAAAAAAAAGGTTTCTTTCTACACAGCCCGGGAAAAAAATCGGGAATTTTACATCACAAAGGTTTTTTTTTTTATTGTTTTCTGAAAAACCAAAATTTAAAGAAAAGAAATACTTTT